ATAATCCATAAACTGATAACTTTTTATAAAGCTAGAAAGTGAATATCAACTTTTATAATCCATAAACTGATAACTTTTTATAAAGCTAGAAAGTGAATATCAACTTTTATAATCCATAAACCGACAACTTTTCATAAAATTAATTTTTTATAAAGTTAGAAAGTGAATATCAACTTTCATAATCCATAAACCGATAACTTTTTATAAAATTCGCTTTTATAAAGCTCGAAAGTTAATATCAGCGTTTATAATCCATAAACCGATAACTTCTTTCAAAGCTCGGAAGTTTATTTTATCTTTTATAATTCATAAACCGATAACTTTTTATAAAATCCATTCCTTATGAAATCGTAATGAAGTTCATCTAATCACAGGTAGGCTCTATCAGAGTATGAAGAAGTACGAGGAGGCGGAAAGGATGCATTTGCGCGCCATCGCCATCAAGGAGGAGCTGCTGGGCAGCGATGACTACGAAGTGGGGCTCAGCACCGGTCATCTGGCTTCTCTTTACAACTATCACATGAAGCGTCACAAAGACGCCGAGCAACTTTACCTGCGCTCCATCAAAATCAACCTGAAGCTATTCGGAGATGCGTATAGTGGCTTGGAATACGACTACAGGGGGCTGATCAATGTTTACTCCAAGTTGATGGATGGTGAGTGGCTTCTTGTTTTTGTTGGTGTGTAATAGCAATTGTCGTTACTGAAATTCGAGGGGATAGCGATGATATAGTCAACGTATTCCAAAAACACTTTATTGTGAGATTTTCACTAAATTGTTTTACAAAAACGCAACACGTGTTTCGCCATACAATGGCTTCATCTGGCGTGTCTTTCAACTAATTCTACACATTCAATACTAAATATATATATAGTTTATGGAGTACCTGAAATCAAAGTACCTGTAAACGAAGTACCTGAATTTTAAGTAGCTGATATTTTACCTGAGTTTCTAACGAATTAAATTACCTGCACTTATGTTCCATTTTCACATTTGAAAAAATATATTCAGTAACGGAGAGTTATTGAGTTCTAATTGATCATTCAGTAAATTACCCGAATTCCTGAATCTATTGATTTCTAAACATTCTAGATGATTAAGTTTCAAACTCTTCTCTTCTAAATGTAACACCTCGTACTCATGATTGA